CCCAAATCCGAGGCGGGTATGGAGGCCCCGGCGGATGACCCGGTTAGTGTCCGGTCACAAAAATGTGACCGAGCCGGGCGCCCCAAACCGACCGTAGATGTCTGGGCTAACCAACACCCTTCAAATCCAGCCCAAATCTGAGGCGGGTATGGAGGCCCGGGCGGATGACCCGGTTAGTGTCCGGTCACAAAAATGTGACCGAGCCGGGCGCCCCAAACCGGCCATAGATGTTCGGGCTAACCAACACCCTTCAAATCCAGCCCAAATTTGAGGCGGGTATGGAGGCCCGAACGTTCCCGGGTGCATCCGCTACGTCGCATCGGCCCACCTAGACACCACGTATATCGCCACTCAGGATGAACCACAGACAACGGTCAAATCGCACTTCCCGTTTCTCCACTTCACTCTTCATCTCCGGCCCTCCTCGTCCCGACCCATTCTGATCTATGGTGAGTGATAGCAGCAGCGCAATGTCCGGTGGTGGATCCGACGTCAAGGACAACGTGGAGGAGCCCGCCCTCCACATCGCACTTTGCCGGTAGCGGCTGGACCAGGGTGGCAGCAGAACTCTGGAGGTGCGCCGTCCCTTGTCACCGTAGTGCGGAGGACGGTCCCAGACCGTTGCATCCGCGAAGCTCTGCGCACTCCGCGCCCCTCCCAATCCACCACCCGCGCACACCTCTCCACCACCTTGCCCTGCTCCAGACAGACTTCCCGGCCACCATTGGGTCCTCGTGCCTGCTCCGGCGAGGACATGAAGGCATTGGCCGCACGTCGGGCCTGCGCGAGCCCGCTAGTGGATCCAGAGGACCAACTCCTCAAGACGGTCCTCCGCCGCTCTCTCACATCGGCAGAGACCGATGCGCGGTGGCCTTGCCACAAAACACAAAATCCCTTCGGCTTGAGATCGAGCTGTCGGACCGCGAGGCTATGGTGGAGGCGGCGGCGAAAGTGAAGGAGGCCTGGATGGCCAAGGCCTAGGAGCGCGTGGTGCGGAGGATGACCAGCGTCATCTTCTTCAATGGGGAGTCCGACCTCTCCGACAGCTGATAGGTCTCCAACTCCAATGACGACGCCCCTCTCCCTGCCAACGCCTACATGGAGGGGTATAGCCACACCGGCGACTACAAGGGGCCCGGTGAGGAAATGGTAATTTTCTCCACCCTTCTCCGTCGTTATTTTATTTTTGATAATAGACCGCTCGACGATGAACTATGTGTATTTTGGTCTGGTGAACTGCGATGTGTATACTCCCCTATGCAATTTCGTTGTTCTATGTCTGTGTTGCTTTGTTTCCTTGATCCACGTAGTTACGTTACTTACGTTGCATGGATAGCCTGGATCTGGGGTGTCGGATTCGAGGTAGCCAGCTATGGATGCGTGCATTTGAGGGGTGATTGGTCTCTCTCGGCGGACGCGCCCGAGTGTGCTCACTGACGTATAGGGAGCCAAATTTTCTCTATCCGACTATAGATGCTCTAACCTCCTTAAGTTCCCTCTGAAGAAATGTTTCTATTGATCGATCATCTGATGCACTACTTGTTGAATAGGGGAATTTTATCGTACTCCATGCAGCTATGGTTGTTGATCCTACGGAGCCTACCCAAAGGTTTAGGCCGGACCCCCTTCCTTGCCACAACTCTTGCTTGCATCTTTCCCAAATCCCATAAGCATTTAGCTATCTATTGGAGTACAGAGAACAATTGTAGATAATCCTAGAGTTTACCGAAAAATATTTTCACCCCGCTTTATAAATAAAGCAACCACCGAGCACAAAGTCAACAAAAAAACCATCTGAAACACACACACACACACACACACACACACACACACACACACACTGCCACCGCCGGCAAGGTCAAGCAGACAACAC